TCGCATTTTCAGACCGATGAGCTTTGTAAAAATCGACGCGTTTCAAAAAGGCGGGGCATAGAGGAGAAACAATAATGTACAGTATGTGGAAAATAATGTGTTTTTTGAACTTTAAACCGCATAAACACATTTCATTACACCAAATACACAAAATAATGATATTTTTAGCAGCATCATATGACCCCTTTAAAACCGGTCATACCAACCGGGAATCCTGAGAACCAAAACGTTTTTTAAAAGATTTCCTCTCTGAGATCTGAAAGATTTCCTTTCTGATTTTAGTCATGTAATTTGTAATGGATGCCAGATACTGGCAATTTGGGACCTTCTGTGAAAAAAAAAATTGCCACTGTTTCTGCCCAAACCATAACGAATTACAAAGAGGACCAACAAGCAATAGCAACGCAAAGCAAAGTGATTCCAAATGGAAGTTTCGTTGTTCAATAAAGCGCGGGCTCTGGCAAGCCGCACGCGTGCTCTCAGTGTACTCATGACGACCCAGATGTTTGGCACTATTGGCACATGCAGGCTCCCCGCGCTTTGATCCGCGTGCAGCTTTACAACACCAACATGCAAAATACCACAAGAATTGAAATGACCTTTCCCTTTCAAATTAGGCCAATGTACGACACAGATTCGGTTTACAATATCAAAGTGCAAACATATTTTATTAATTATTATTATTATTTTTTTTAAGAAAATATTTTGAAAAATTATTTATAAAATATATATTATTGTAAATATTATTGCATCCATTATTATTCTTAACTCAGAAAATGTATTTATTTTTTAATGTTGCATTAATTTAAATGTAGGATCTTGTTTAGTCTAAATGGTGTTCAGATATTTTATAGGTAAACAAATACTAAGAAATATAACAATAATAAATATATATATTATCAACAGCATATTTCACATTTTTTCATGTATTTCTGAGTTATCTTCTGCATAATTGTAAAACAGCTTATTTAGACGAACATGTTAATCATAAAACATCAATAAACCTGAAAACTCCACGTACACGTATACTTAAAAATAAACTTAATTCAATAATTCTGCTTATCGAGTAGCTACAATATGTTTGTTTTAAGGATGTTTAGATTGAATAAGACAGCATCAAGAAAATAAAATGTGTCATGTGTTCCTGGCTAAGATCATGCCAGATAAAGAATACATAAGTTTTACAGTAACGTTACCTGATCAGTGGCTTGCCAGGTGAAGTTCACGTGGTGGATGTTGACAGGTATTGCTGGCATTCGCTGCTGTGCTTTCCTGAAGTCGTGTGTGAATGGGGCCATTTTGCCCTCGGAGACAATTAAAATATCCTCCTCAAAACCTGTTGGATAAAACATTGAGCCTCTCATAGCTTGAAAAAAAGTTACGTTATGCACTGGCTTGGTTTACACTTGGGCTCTAATAGAATTAACGTGCCATTGACCCAGTACAGAAACCACGTTAAACACTATTACCAATTAATATTCTTGCTTGATTGGCATCAATCCACATGTACATGCTTCCTTGCTCTTGGGCAGCTTCCATCAGACCCCCTAAAAGCAGAAGAAAGCACGTTTTAAGGTGCAGTTGAACAGCAGGCGTCCTGAGAGCCATCCCTTGATTTATTTAAAATGAATTGGCCGGCTTGCTAGCTCTCCCCTCTCGCTGCAATCCCGTGCACTAAATGTGTCTCGAGTGAGTCTTCAATTGACAGAATGATTCGCGCGAACTGTTTCGCGAGCTACTTGTACACAGCAGGAGCTGCAGTTCACAGATTTCGCCACGAGGTGGCGTGGTTTTAATACAAGGCGCCCCTGATTCGCAATTAAAATAGTCGTTATGCATACAAGCTGATTAATGTTTTGAAGTGTAACAGCGTGATAATGAAATGTTTTCTTCCATCATTAAAAAGGCTTCTTTTGGTTTAACCAAATTCAAAATGGATACTTTTCTCAACATCTTTATTTGTATTTTTGCATTTCTTTAAATTTATGTCGACACCATCACTTAGTGAAATTCCCTGTACGGTTGTACATGGAGATAAAGGCTTCTTAAGTCATATATTTGACACAACTCTTTCGGAAATTGAATTAAAGATGGATTTTCATTCATATTTTTAATTAATCTTAACTTGAATTCATGTTAACCAGGTGTAATATGCTTGTATAGTAATTGAATTAAACAGATCATTATAATTTCTAAAACTACTAACAATCAAAAATTGATTGTTAATCAATATATTTTCTGATTTTCATTTAAATTTGGGTTTCAATTATTAACAACAACAATAATAATAATATTTATTAAATAACTTATTTTATTAAATCTTCTTCTTCTTATTATTATTATTATTATTATTATATTAAAATAATATAAAACGGATGATGATGATTATAAAAGTTATGTCCCATATATCAAACATCGGAACTCCTTTATGAGTGGAAAAGTATGTAAAAAAAAGAAAGGAAGAAAAAGAAATGTGGGGGTGCATTAAAGATAAGACTTTACAAAAAAAAAAAAATATATATATATATAGAGAGAGAGAGTGAGAGTGAGAGATAGATATATAATATTTATTTATTATATTTATTGTGTCTTCTTGTGTAAAAAAAGATTTCGTACTTAAATTTTTGATACCTTGGCATTAATTAAAAAAATAAAAATAAAAGTTTCCCATTCCTTTCCTTTCAAGTTGGCCGTCTGTCCGCTTACTTCTACGTCACTTCCGCCGTGTCTCGCTGTGTGCGTTTTTTCGTGCAAAGATGGCGTCTGCACAGTTGACGGATGAGGAGCTTGTGTCTGAATTAAAACGGCTCGGCTTCACTCCGGGCCCGCTGACGGAGAGCACGCGGCCCGTGTACTTGAAGAAACTGAAAAAGTTGCGGGAGGAGCAGCCACAGCCGCGGAGCTCCCGGAGCGGAAAAGGGCGCAGCAGCAGCGGGAGTATCAACAGCAACGGCAGTAGCGGCGCTAGTAACAGCAACGCCGCGGCGCGAGCTCCGGGATTCAGCGCCAGGCCACTGGGCAGTGACGTCACGCGTCTGAGCGCCAGCAGGAGCGAAAAGCGCAGAGCCGGAAAGTTCGTGCTGGGCTTCAGCTCGGACGAGTCGGACGTGGAGGCGCCGCAGAAGAAAGGAGGCCCGAATCACGGCAGCAGCAGGAGAGACCGAGGATCCGCGCAGCAGACACCCACCATCAGGCCTGCCGGAACACCCGCTGCCGCCTCCCTCGGGTTATCCGTGGACAGGAAAAGCATTTCTGGGTCTCCGTGGTGGGCAGACCGAGGTAAACCGAACGATTGGGAGGAAACGGAAACAGACAGTCGGGCTTTGAACGGGAATAAGGCGTTTTATGAGACTAACAGTAGTAAGTTAGACAGGGATTACTCTGATTCAGACGAGGAGGAGGAAGAGGAGGGTGAACGACACCGTCCCCGCGAACGCTGTCTGACTTACAGACGCAGTCCACCCGCCTCCTCTTCCTCGTACCGGAGCGTCTGGAGCTTGGAGAAGACGGCGCTCGGCGCGCGTGATACGCCCGACTTCAGTCTAAATATGGTCGGGAATCGCAGGGACGACGATGAGAAAGAACCGAGGGTGTTCAGCGGAAGCTACGTGAGCCGCAGCTATCCGAAACTCTCCGGGATTGACGGGGATAACAACAGCAGCAGCAGCAGCCCGTCCGGTTCTTTTAATAAGAACCACCTCGACAACGGAGACGGCGAGTCCCCCTGCAGCAGCAGCAGCAGTCGGTTCAGTATCGGGCTCAGACCGCGCTTTCCCTCCTACACAGCGACATACCGAGCGAACCACACCGTGTCCAACAACTCCTACAGCCATGCATCAGCCCTCAAGCCCAAGCAGCACACCACGGTCCCGGAGGACGAGCTCCTGCAGCAGTTTAAACGGGAGGAGGTGTCCGCCACCGGCGGCTTCAGCGCTCACTACCTGTCCATGTTCCTCCTGACAGCCGCCTGCCTGTTCTTCGTCCTGCTGGGCCTCATGTACCTGCGGATGAGGGGCTCCAGCACCTCCGACGGGGATGCAGTCAGTAAGTATGAAGTGCTGAAAGTGGCATGTGTCTCAAAACGTAGTCAGCTGTATTCCTAAGCAACATTTTGGGGCAGTTTAAGAGCATTACTGTTTTATTATTTAGTATGTGTGTATATAATAGTACTGAATGTTGATAAGTACCATATTCATATAATATATTTATATGGTACCTTGTCCAAAATATTTAAAAAAGCCTTAGTGCTTTGTCCAAATAACATGATATTACCATGGTTAATTGATGGTATTTGATGCTGCTAAGTGAATACCACATAAATACCATAGTGGATGAATTTATTACTTCCACCCAGTTTCCAAAAAGAATACAATGGTGCTACCATGGAACATACAAAAAAGGTATTACTGTGGTACATGTCCAAAAGCATAATATCACCATCATCCTTTGAAAACATGGCCGTACTATGGTACAGTGATGCATCAGATTATAATACTATGGTACCGAATGCTGATGTTTACAATCTTCATATACAGTGATATCTACCGTTTATCAAAAACCGTTGTAATACCATGAAACATTTACAAAAAGTGGCATTACCATGGTATATGTCCAGTGGTGTTGCCATGGTGCATTTATAATGTGGTGCTTTGAGATATATAATGCTGCTGAATGATTGTCACATAAATAATATGGTATGGTATTAATGTAGTACTTCCACCCAGTTCCCAGGAATACTGTGGAACATAAAACGTGGTATTACTGTGAAGCTGTGTGCAAGAATATGGCAATACAGTGAATGTTTTGGACTTACCATGGTTCTTTGATATTATTATGATGCTATTTTGATATTATGTTGCTATTATATTATATTTACACTTCAAAGAATACTTTGGTATTACTATGGTGTGATGAACTGCCTCTGTATCGTTCCAGTAGTCTGTGAACTCTCACATTAATTTCCATTATATAACCAAGGTTTAAAATATGTCAGGTCAATAATGTTTTCAAAAATGTTGTTGTAGTTTGCACTAGTGTTGCGTCCCTTAAAAGATTGTCTTTACACTGCCATTTAGTATCTGGTATATATGGCAAATGCCAAATGAACTTGTATTGATTTACTAAGCAAAATCACAGAGAGTGTGTTTTTCTGGTCGGGAAATGTCATGCCCCTTACCATAGCCGCCTGCGAGCTTCAGTGTAAATATTGCGTCAAAATCAAATAAATTTGAGCGCGATTTAAACCCAGATGATTGTAACCACTCTAAGTTCGTCTGCCTCGGGAAAGCTAGCGTGTCTCCGACATAGTGATAACACTCGTTGCCTTCTCTAGTGCAGCTCAACCAGGTCTCGTCCCATTCGTCGATATTTGTGATATCACAAATCCCGGAAAGTATGCGTTGTAGTCCAAACGAGTCGTTCGTTGTAGTTTTTGAAAAGTGATTTCTGTTAAATAAAATATCTCCTTTTGAATTGGACTTTGAGCTTTGTAACTTCGCAGATCTTTTTTATGCTCAAACAGCAACATTACAGACTAACTAAAGTTGAAAAAGTGAAAAAGCATAATAGGACCCCTTTAATTCAGCGCTTGCAACGCAGCAAACATACTCGGTGCGGAAACGATCTCTGCACTGCTGCAGACCGCTCCTGGAACGCACTGCCGGTGTTGTGCCGAATTCTGCACCCCTGCCAGATTATGCACCCCCTCGTTGAAGTCGCTACCTGATTGCCTAATGCCAACCCCACCCCTAATCCTGACCCCTGCTGCAGACCGCTCCTGGAACGCACTGCCGGTGTTGTGCCGAATTCTGCACCCCTGCCAGATTATGCACCCCCTCGTTGAAGTCGCTACCTGATTGCCTAATCCCAACCCCACACCTACTCCTACACCTACCAATACTAGGGGGTGCATAATCTGGCAGGGTGCAAATTTAGGCACTACACCGGACCGCAACCGTGTGCAGTGTGCATGCTTTATTAATCCGTTAACATGTGCGCGGAAAAAATACGCACCACATACGCACTGCAAACGGAGTAATGTGAACCTGGCATTAGTTGTGTACGCTGCGAGTGTGCATGAGCGCACGGTCTCCAGGAGTGCGTGCGAGCGCTGAATGGTTAAACACTGGCAAGAATTAAAAAGTAATGCAATTTATAAACTTTAGTGACAATGCATACACCCTCACAGCAGAGTGATCTCGTGTAAGGGTGCTTAGGATTTTCGGAGCTGATCACTGATCGTCAATCACAGGAAGCAATATCTGCACATTTTGAGAGGGACAGAGAGAGAGAGAGCGCGCGGTGATTCACTCGCGCTGTTTGTGAAATTGCGTCTCACACAAGGTTTTCAAATTATTTTATAAGTTATTTGATGAAGAAATATGAAGGTGAGTATCTCACCTTCAGCATTATAATTATTTCACCCTCGCCGGACAGAGACTGAGACGGTGCCGCTGCATGTCGTGCCAAACCTCTCACGGCAGCGTCATCAGTTTGAGATTGTTTTTTTGAGATCGGCCTTTTTAGAGACCGCCGATCAAACATCCCAACGAGATTATCGGCCGATAGTGATTGGTAGCCGATAAATCGGCGCACCCCTACTTATCTTCAAGTTTTTTTTAGTTCTC